TATATTTCCTTTGTTGCCTTCCCAGTTACCTACCTTCCTCTCCTGTGAAATTCCATCTGATTGTTCAAGGACAGAGTTAGATATTACCTCATCTAGGAAGTCGCAACGCTGTCATTTCTTCTCTAGCAATTTCTCTGATTTCCTATTTAGATCAATAAACCACTGAGTAGCAATGTAGCTGACTTCCCATAGCATTCACTGCTTTTGAAGTTCCTGCTACTGTACTGTTCTCTGGGGTTTCCTCTCTACCATTTTGGAGCCTGCTGTTAGGTCCACCATAGTGAGGTCACTACAAATTCAGATGGGGTAGTAGGAAATACATTATGTCATCACAGAGATACTTAAACATGTGTATTCCAGTATGTACACTACTAGATCCTGAGGTCTTGCAAAATTGGTATAATGTGAGAATGATACTGGAAATCCTATGTGAGTTTTCTGGTTTACGCTTAGTGCCATCAATTATTCAGGAGCATCCTTTGGCCAAATCACATTCATAGGCTTCAATTTGCTTCTCTGCAAAATAGTTGATCACTGAACCGCCTGTATCCTTAGTATATTATGAGGTTTAGATGAAATCATGTATCTGACAATGCTCTGGGAATTGAAAGGTTGGCAAGGATTTCAATTTCCCCTTTACTGGTGAGATGAAGGCCATATTCTTTTTTATCAGGATTTTCTTGTACCTCTTTCTCTAGCCTTGTCTCTCACAGCTATACTCGTCTTAAATTCTCCCTATAATGACAACTAAAGTACTTACAGTTTCCCTTTCAAAGCTGTGAAGGGATGCTCTTTTCTCTACTTCCAGTCCCATCTTCATTCAATTTGGGTATGGTCTTGACTTCTCTGAGAAGTCTTCCTTGAGCTTACGTTCAGATTGTATAGACATCCTCTATGGCAAAGACAGAACCTTACCATAGCACCAATTAACGTGATATTACCACAATAGTTGGCATTCTGCTTGTCTCTCCAAGTAGACTTGGATCTCCATGAGAGTAGAACCATGCCTGTCTTGTTCTTGTGAAGGACACAGAATAGTTGTACAAATAAATAGGTTGCTAAACAACCAAAAAGTCAAATGGATGCAGGGAACATTGGTTAATGTGCCACTTTGAGGGCATCTCTGTAGTCTGCACTAAACAGATTTCTCTCTCAAGGTTAGTCTAACCATGAAATTACCTACATTTAGCACTGCGTAATATATCTAAATGGTTTGCTTCCTTTGGGGACCAGTACAATTGCTTGGCAATCAATGATACATATTGTCACAGTGCCTGCCGCTTCTGTTGGCCAGTTTTCTGGTTTGATATTTGAGGTAATGCAGTACGGGAATGTGAAGGATTGTTTACAGAGTCTGACATAAACAAGCTTGTGCTCATGGAACATCGCTGGTCAGTAGTTGGATCAAATCTCCCAAATGACATTTTCATTTCAAGTTAGTGAGAGAATATGGGAAGGTTTGGCCTGAAGTAAATGGTGACAGAATAATTTGGAGGCTTAAACCATCTTCAATTGCTTACTCTCTCAGGTCATTTTCATAAACCAGTAGTCTCATAAATATTTCTCATTGCATCTGTAGTTCCTATTCGACCTCACCCAACATGTCTCTTCGATAATTTCCTACTTAAGTGGGAATGAAAAAAGTCACTGGGAATGGGTGCAAGGCAAAGTATATTCAGTGCATGGCATAGTGATTCTTGGCCTGCATTTGTGGGAGCCACACATCTAGAGTTAGAGGCTCTCTTATTAAGGCTCTGAACTAGCATGCAAGGGGATGGAAAATGTTCTCAGGTGTCCCACCACCTTCACATGAATACCACATGTACATGATGAAGGGACTATGAAATGGGTTCTAGGAATGGCTCCTTGTTATAGGCCTTAGGTCACAATAATATTAAGTAAATATTTTGGTCCAGCTTTCTCATGTAAAGTAGAAGTTTGGACTATACATTATCTAAGATCTCTACTAGAGCTAAGGTAGCAAATCTAAATTTAAGATTAATCCTATTGCTTTGGATGGAAGGAGGTGGGAAGTTTGGGGAATGGGAATGATAGGTTACATCCCAGATTGGTCTGGCCGAAGGCATGTAGTAGACTATAAACACACTGAAGCCACAGTGCATGGCTATGATTTATCGTTCTCCTACTTATATCTCTATCATTTACGAGATCATCTCAGTATTAAACACAGTATTTCAGCTTTGTAACCTTTACCCATCCACAAGCAGTTGATGGTATCTGTTGTTTTGATAATCTGCCCTTCCCCAGTATTTGTTCTGTAAATATATGTTGAGTAAAAATATGGATATGCTATTTCCAGAATTGTGTTTTAGGGGTAGTAGTAGTTCCTTTTCATGTTAGGTCATGAGTATGAAAGGTATTTTTGGTATTTTCAGTCACTATAGTGTTCAGGGTGGAAGAGATTTCCCATTTCAAGTGGTTCCACATGCCTTTCAACACATTGACTTTATTGACGAGTCCAGAAAAGGGCAGGGGGCTTTCTGTTGTCATACAGTGAATCAGTAGGCCAGAATGCTAGCTATACACCTGCTACATGACCATGATCAGGTCAAGTAGAGTACTTCTATCTGCATGCTCTTCTGAGCACATTAAATATATAATGGGCCCTTGACATTTGTGTTTTACTATTCCTTAAAGAAACTAGTGGTAGCTGCTTACCACCTTGCCTCTTTAGGCAGGAGCTGAGTAGTGAGTGAAATCAAGTAGTGCAGTTGTTAGGTAGGTAAGTCATTGTTTGTAGAAGTGAGAGAAGAGGGCCTAAACAATGGTGGTCAGTGACCTACTCTGGATGCAGGCTTTGACTTATGTAACCCACCAACATAAACCTTCATTTTTTCATGGTAGACACACGGATACTCAATATTTCTGGTATTTCTCTCCTCTTGTTCATGCACTGATTTCAGGAAACATTTGAGAAATCCAAGTACTTTGAGGTGGTCAATGATAAAAATGGCTCAATGTGGGATCCTTGTCATGGGTTTTGGAATTTCAATAGGGAGCAAGCCAGAACAAATAGCCCACCAGCTGTGTCACACATGTTCTCACTGAATCCCCAACCCAAACCAGAAGGGAGTCCTTGCAACAACTTCTATTATACACAAGGATTTGAGGCATAGAAATCTTTCTTATTGCTCTATTAAGCACCTATAATACCCCATTGATGGACTATATCTTAAACTCAGCAATACAGCTTGGGATTTCATAAGCATTAGCATTGGGGTGGGGAGGGACAGGAAGTGGTCTTCATTAAACTGAAGAACTCCAAAAGAAGTCTGTCTCAGCTCGCACTTGAATGGTTGAGAACAGTGTGGCCACTGAAAACAGTGAGGTTGACAATGTGCCCATTCTTTGTCTGAAGTTTGGTTCAAAGTGGGAGTGATGTTTCATGCTCCAATGGGAATGAGGATGTGAGGGTGAGTAGCTGAGCTTTGTTCAGATTTCCCTTGGCTAACAAGCTTGGGGCTTCTCACAAAATGTTGTGATGGGTTGCTCGTGTCCATCTGTGCTTTCTAGCACACATCCTTTGTTATTTTGGTGGTCTTGGGTCAATCTATGCTAAGGTTAACACAGGGCAAATTTATAACTCCTGGCTAAGAGTTTTAAAAATATATGAAAATCAAAGTAGCGTAAAAGGCCACTGGGAATGATAGCAATTCTTGACTCCAATAAAGACAGCCCATAAAAAGAGCTAATTAAAAGAACTCTGATGACATTCATCTGAAATTTCAGATTGTTTTATGTTTTAACAAATTAACAATGGTGATAAGAGGACATTAGCAGCTTTTCTCGGGTCTCTTTGTTAACAGTAACTTGAGCCTACAGCCACAACAGGGGCTATGGCCAAGCTTTAGCTGGCAAACCAGCAAGCCAGTATTTTACACAATGGATGACATTTCTAAAACCAGACGCAGAGACAAACCAAGAGCCACACATGTATTCCAACAAACAAATTTCTGCCATTTTTAATTGTATTTAGAACAACAAAAGATTTCAAGATTACAAAAAGAGAACAGAACATGAGCGCTTGGGGCTGGTCCTGCTGCCCAGTGGAGGCCAAGTGCCGCTGTAAGAACTGAAGCCCCATCAAAAGAAGTTTCAAGCAAAATTAACTTGTTTCCTTTGAAAATTTTCAATAATGCTTTCTCTCTTTTTTCTCTCAGTGTCCAAAATTAATTCTTATCTCTAGCCGCATTGTCTATTCCCTCCTATTGCCAAATTAATCTTAAGGATAACACAAGAATGCCATGTGCAAGGCACTCCCTAATCAATGTCCAGTCTATCTAGTCCAGAGGAAAGCAGAAAGGTGTTAACGAGTGGTGGGGGTATTCTTTTAACTTGGGGAACCCCAATGGTAGCTGCTGTCAGTGACCCAATGACAGTGGCTTATAGAATAACCAAATAGGCACTTCAGTGCAGGATAGTGCTAAGGTTGTGAGAGTCAGTTAGAGCTTGGCCTATTTGTTGTAGAATAAAAGGACCTAAACTTTGAGCATCAGCCAGAGACGGCAGCTGCAGAAAAGCTGAACTGTATTTCTTTTGGGTAATTCGTATGTATGTGCTCCAATCTTTGATGCCCAATGTAATCTGCAGCTGAAAAACAGTTTTATGGAGCGGCTTATGTAGAAACTGTTTCAGGCTACTAGTGCCGCCCATTGCATGGTCTCTCACTTAATTCCATGAAAGGCTAAGAGACAAGCAGAGCAAGGAAACATACCAGGACCCCTCCTATAATAAATTTGGATTGGAAACCAATGAGTTGATCACCTGCTTTCTGGCCTTGTTAAATTTCACCAAATTAAAGCTGGGTCAAAGTATTTTTTTTTTTTTTTTTTTTTTTCACTTTAAAACACCAGCTGCTAAATTCAAATATCTACCATTCTTTTGAGGGTAGAGGAATTTTCAGTGGTTTGTTACCTTAGCTGAAATGTCTGAAGAAAAGTGGCAAATATGGATGTTTCTGCCTTCACCTAGAAATAGTTGAGGGTTGGGCGTCTCTGGGCAACAGATCCCAGTGTTGAGCTCTTAATCAAAGAAAAACACCTCTACTTGTGTGCAGAGATGGACCTGTACCTACAGAAATATGACTTCTAGTACACTGACAAATTTGAACAGAGAAAAACACACTATCAATTATCAAAATGTTTACAGAACATATCCAAAACCAGAATTAGAGCATACAGACACCCAGTAGCAAGAGCACCTCAATCGCAGGGAAAGAATTCATGTGACAAATGGAGCACATGCTCCAGGTTCCCACGTTCAGTCAACTTCCCTTCTCTCATAAGAATGGTGAGGACCAAGGAAATACCTTTACTTCTCCCACTGGCTCAGATCCCGTGAAGGTGCTGCTGGCCACTCATGTGATGGACATTTGGCCCCAAGTCTGAATATTCCCTATTATAAATCCCAGTCAATTCCAATGAGTTTTCACCACCCCTTCCACATTCATCTGTCTTAGGCTAGTAAAGTGCAATACATCATGTACGCTACCCTTTCCTCCTCTACCCCTTTGCAAGGCCTGAACACCAGACCCAATCAGGGAAGAGGTCTCCTAGCTATCTGATCAACCTAGAAGTCTTGTCCATTCTGAGAGAGCACCCAAAATGTAACTGCAGCATCTCTTACAAGCACATGGCATCAGATATAACCTGGAACCAAATATAAAGGTGCAGAGAAAGGTAAAGCTATGAGAACACAATTACATCTATATATATAATTCAGTTTTGAAACATGGATACAAATACTCATTTACAATATATTCAACATTCTGCCTTAAACTGCAGAGAACGTTTTGTGCTGTCCAAACTGGGCAGAAATGAGGGTTTCTGCCTGCTCTCCTTCTAGTGCAAAATCTAGTTCTTTAAATGCTCCCCTTCTTATCAAGGGCTTCACATCTTCAAATAAGCTAACATGGGCACTAGCAAATGCAGTGGCCAAGACCAGCTCCATTTCCAACAATGCAATGATGGAGCTTCAAGAATTTGCTTAGCAACTACTAGAAAAAAGGAAAGCTAGTTCTGCTTATAAAATCAGTTAGTGAAGGACACCATAATCCCATTTTTCCAAATTATCTTAAATGCTTCTAAATATGTATATTGTGAGACATTTCCTCCTCACAAATACTTAAAAGTCAGTTGCCAGAAAAGTCCTTCAGTCTGTCTTTGGATAGTTTACCAAAGAGGCACTAATACTTGCTCCTTCCCTGCCCTTAAAAATTTTGGTTTCTTAAAGGATACAAGATAATCTTTGGTTATATAATGTGATGCTTTAATCTCTGTTTCTGTCTTTAAAAAAACACCTGCTTTCAAAGGTTTTCAAAGAGATAAGTGGTGAGAATAAACCTGTGTAGAAAGGCAGCCAGGGTAGAAACTCCCTATTCCAAGGAATTTCACATGCCAAAAGGCTTCTTCAGACTTTAAGTTTGCGATTTGATCTGGTGTATTAGCATTCCTGTTTCTCACACATGAAAACCATGCCTTGGCCCAGTGACCTTTTATATGGGCAACTGACACAGGAGAGTCAGTAGTCAGCCTCTTGTTTGTCCAGGGCCATGCTAGGGCCGTGCAGGGATAGTAACTGGACTATCTTCAGAGAACCTTGTGAAGTGAAATCCTGGCATAGGTCTTGGGAGAGCTATAGGGGGTGGCTTGGGCCTTTGTACCCTGCCAAATACCAAGGAAAAGAAGGGGGCAAGGCCACATCTGTGCTGAATAAAACAAACACTTAGAAGCTGCTTGAAGCTTAAAGTCAGGTCATTTGTGTAGTGTCAAGTTGCACTGTGGATGATAAACATCATTTTTCTGAAAGTATGTTGACTACATCTCATTATATATGCTTATATGTATTTAGAAATAGGGTATGGACAGAGAGGGATGTGAGCATCAGCACTTCTGTCAACCCAAACAATTAACCTCAGCAACTAACCAAAAGACAGAGTAAAGCTCTTTTTTTGTGCCAGAGAACATACATAAAAATATACATATTACTGATTTTTCTGTTTTTCAAAGATATATGACAGAATCCTTCAAAAAAAATCCTTTTCTCAGAGTAAGGTAATTTAAAAAAATAATGAACTTTCCAAGAACAATAATATTGCCCACAGCATAGAAAAATCTGTGGAACAAAGAAGCCAACCCCCGTGTCAGCTCAGAATCCACATCCAGTGAGCTGCCCAGTGAATGAGAGTTGAAACCACCACACGACTCTTTTCTTTAACCACAGAGTTCGTGACTTTGGCAGCTGTGTGCTGCCCAGCCCAGATGGACCTTCTCCACAGTGCTCATTTTTTCCTCTTCTTAATTTTTATTTCCCTCAAGCACTGTAAACCTCCTTGGAGATTGTCACCTTGACTTGTCCTGTGAGTGATCTTCATCTTCCGTCTTACCAGGAGACTGGAGCAGTGGCCAGTCATTCACAGGTGAGCACAGTGTACCAGCAACATTCACTCTGTTGAGCAGAGTACTTGCAAAATGAGACTTCTGCCAATCACAATTGCTGGAGCATCAATGGCCAAAGGGAAAAAAAACAACAATAACAACAAAATAAAACCCCAAACAAAAAGCAAAAACCAACATCCATTGCTCACTCAAATCTCAATGCAGAAACAATAGGCATAAAACCATAATCAGGCTCTTTTTCTCTAGTTTTTACACTTGGAAATTTGGAGTCATCTAGTTGGTGTTGCTTTAGTTGCAATTCCGCTGCTGTTTCACTAGACTTTGACTTTTGCGAATGAAAACCATATACATTCATAAAGACAAGAGTCGTGATTGGGAAGTCCGTTACATGAAAAACTTCACGGAGAAAAGGAACAAATATTTTTAGTATTTACAAAGATAGATATTAGAACAATATAATCAAATCCATGTACCAAAGAAGATGAAAATTGCTTTGGAATAGATAGAAAGGAACTATTAAAGTATAACCTAGTTTAACTGAAAAGAGTGGTGGGTTTTCTTCTAATACATAGCTAAAAACAATCCTGTATATGAGCCAGATAGTGTCATCACAAAGCAAATCAGAATCTGTCTATACTTCCCAAGAAAGGGAATCTGTCAGCTTCATTTTTTATCCAGTAGGATTGGATTGGCATATCACCCATCTTAAATTCTCCCTCCATTGTTATTTAAAGAAGCCGCTTTGCAAGTTTGTTTGGCTATTAATATCAACACAGAAATCGGAAGGAAACGCATGTGTATCATATCATGTCACTCAGAAACTATCTTCTCAACCAACATAGTATACCAACCGAAATGGGCAGCGTGGGGGCTGGCCCTTGATTTCTTAAGTTCAACAGTGAAGTTGAGAGCTAAGTGCGGAGGAAGTGGCAAAAATACAAGACTAAGTGGTCATTCCTCCTGCGCTTGAAGTTGAGGAACAAAGTCCAGAGAAAAGAAGAGTGCCAAAGGACTACATGAAATCAGTGACCCAGGGCATGCCCTGAGTTTATGGGTGCAGCCCATTTGTAGCCACACCAGCCAGACCTTTCCAAATGAAGCTGCGGTTCTGTAGAACGCCTCAGTGATCCTGCACCCTCTGACTGAGAGGCAATGATGATGGTGGAGAATCTGAATGACTGTGGCCAAGGTCAGCCCAGCATCCGTGACAGAGGAGGCTGGGCGACCTGGTGCCCATCTACCCAGATGTTGTTCACCTGGCTTTATTTTAGGCTTCTCCTCCGAAAATTTCAGCAGTGTCCTATTATGGTCTTCTCTCTTCTCATGACTTCTGCAGGTGGATATGCTAGACAGTAAGGAAAGCATTTCATGGTTTCTGGTTTTATTGTCTTCATTCTTTCCACCCTGGTTACTTAGTTTTCTCCTCTACCATGGACTGGGTAGACCCTTTAGTAGCTTTGAGGAGGAAGCTTGCATTTCTCCAGTTGATGGGAGTTTTTATCTTTGGAGGACAAGGGCAAGACGCCCAATTTGTCTGATCCCTTCATTCCAATTTGTCTAAGGGCTCCAGAAAACTGACTATTGATGAGAGATATTGAGTGAGATGTCTTTGAGATTGCTGACATAGATGCCGTGGCTGCTGGCCTGCTAGCCTTTGTGGTGATGGGAAGAGCTTCGCAGTTTCTATGAACATGCCCAAAGAAGTGAACAAGCTTTACCACCATGGCTGAAATGCATTGTGGTGAAGTTCAGGCCTACCAGAGACTGAAGAAGGGTAGAGGGAGTATGTGGCTACATAGAGTCTATAGGTCCTTTAAAGGTAGAGGAAAAGGTGACTTCAGTGAGGAATCAACTATTCAGTGTCCCTAAGAGGGATAATGGCTAACCCATCACCCCCTTTTCCTCCGACTCCAGCCACAAGGTCCTCCATGGCTTACACGTGGAGGATATAGATCTGAATGGAGCCTTCTTCCAAAGGGTTGGATCTCTCTTCTAACTCTTCTGTGGAAGTGGCCAAGCTTTGGCTAAAGAGAACACTCAGTTTAGAGCTCATAGAAAAGTTATTGAAAATCAATTGAAGGCGGAGGCAAAGTCTGAGAGAGAAAAGGGTTTGAAGGGGGAGGCGTTGACATACAGACAAGCTTTCAAACAAGAAGTACATGTCAGGACAAAGCTTGCACTGCAACAGAGGAATCTAGCACTCAGAAACAAAGGCTATGGACAGGTAACAGTCATGCATCTACTCTCTTTGTCCTCCCTTCTCTCTACCTACCCCCAATTAATATTTGGAATAATCCTGCTCTCTAATGGCAGTAGCCAATGGCATCATCTGAAGTCTCCCAGAGTGATGATATAGGATGAACAAAAACAGTGACTACTCATGGGCCTACTCAAGTTTTACTTTCTTCTAGTCACTGTTTGCTTCCTTGGGAATCCTATTTGTTTATTTATTGTGAAGAAACAAACCCACCATGATTTTGGGGTTTTTTTTTGTTTGTGTGTTTTTAAATTATTTTTTTTTTTGGATTTTATGTGTTTGTTTCTTCATCAGATACTTTTAGCTCTCTAAACTTGCCGTGGCATAAGGTAAGTAAACATTTGTGTGACTGGCACACAGCACAGTGCTGTAAACAAGCACAGTTGACAATGGGTCACATTAAGATCATCACAGAATCAAAGAAATACAACACTATTGAAAACACAGGTAGGAACCACAGCAGGCAGCAGTTGTAAGGTTCCAAGGAAGGGCGAAGGAGGGAGGAAGGAAGAAAAGGAAAGAAGGAAAGTCCAGGAAATAGAACTCAGGACCATGTTCATGGCAGGCTGTACATCAGTAGAGGAAATTCCCCCAAGGCACTGCAGAGAAGTGCAGAGTTATATAACAGACAGAGGAGATCTGAAAAGGGGAACAGGGTGGGTTTGGGCATGAGGCTTTCCAAAGCTTCACTGTGTGTGGAAATAGATGGGCTTGACTTTCCCAGAAAGGATCTTGGGCACTTGCACAGAGATGATCTCTGCCATCATTTCCGGAAAGTCCACGCTCACCATATGGGACTTGATTAGCAGATCAAAAGTGAACTGATGTAGCTCTCTTGCAATCTGCAATGGACAGTAAGAGAGAGAGAAAACATGGTTAATAAAGACTTGGCTTCTGTCCAACCCTCCTCCCACCTCTGATTTTCAGTACTTTTAGTGTTCAGTCCTGTGAGGGGTGCGTGTGTGTGTGTGTGTGTGTGTGTGTGTGTGTTTGTGTGTGTGAGAGAGAGAGAGAGAAATATGGTCTCCAGGGAGGCACTGAGGGCTCCCAAGAGATCTCTTATACCACATTACAAGTTCTCTGACTTTGGATTGGGTGTTCCTTTATTCCCGTACCCCAGTACACAGTTATCTCTCTGTCTCTCTCTGTGCGTCTCTATGTCTCTTTGTCTCTCTCTCCCTTTCCTTCTCCTTCCCTCTCTCTCCCTTTCCTTCTCCTTCCCTCTCTCTCTTTCTTTCTTTCTTTCTTTCTTTCTTTTCTTTCCTCCATTTACTCCCTTCTTTTCCTTCTCTTACACACACACACACACACACAAACACATACCACACAGAGTGCAAACTCACATGTACATGACTCAAAGAGGAAGGAAAGACATTCAGGACTGTTTTGTCTGCCTGGAGAATCCATCTGACTTATGCTTCTTCCCTGAGACTCAGATTCTCTGTTCTCAACTCCTCCACCCCTTTCACAGTGCCAAGCTGGGACACTGTGATCTGTTCCTTTCTTCTCCATTGCATTTTCTTCTTGGACCATACTCAAAGCCAGAGGCAAATGGAAGCACCTCCCAACAGGTGGTGCCAGACCCTAGAGAAGCCTATTATCACTGGGCTCTATCAGGCTGCTCTCCCTGATAAAGCACCCTCTGTAGTTTGCTTACAGGCTGCACAGAGTCCAGGAGCTTGGTGAGCTGGTAGAAGCGCCTTGAGCAGGATGTGGGATTTTTTCTTTTGCATGCAATGATACGATCGAGTTCCTTGATGTAGTTCATTCGAAGTTCATCAAAGAATTTTTGATTTTTCAGGCCATCCACTGGAACTGATGTGGGATGAAGACAGAATGGGGAGGGGAAACATGCCCACAAAGGAGCATTAGACAAAGCACCAAGTTTTCTGACCACAAAATTGACCCCCCACCCCCACATGGCGTGAACCATCTACTTGGCTTTCTGTCAATTTAAGTCTGTGTGCCTGGGGCCTTCAGTCTACTAGGGAGATATGAGGGCAAAGGGTTGCTGTTCCCAATATGGAGGGAGTTAGGTAAAATGCACTTAATTTTTCCTTTTGCTAGTCCTTTCATGTACCATTTCTCAGGGCTGAAACTTTTTTGCCATTTCCCATCCAGCTGTGTTTTGTACAATCAAAACACCTCACATATCAAATGCCAAATGCCTCCATTTTCCCTCATGACACTCTAATTAGAAGGCACATTAAAGACAGCTTCCTTGGCTGCCAGGCAAGTTGTGTCTGGGTTGCTTACATCAGCCTCCTCTGATTCCTAGAAAAGGAAATGTCTTCTGGGAGGTGATCCCTCCTCTGTACTTCTCTTCCAGGAATACAAGCAGTTTAGGCCTGTTTCTGCAGTAAAAGCTATAGGAAACTTCAGAGGCCTGCTATCAGCAGCCTAAAAGGCTTCATCTCAGTGAGGGTGTGAGAGGAGAGAATCTGGTAGAGGTTGGAGTCTATCAAAGAAACTGAATTCTACCCATGAAAGTGGTCTTCATAAGGAAAAAGGATGGTGAGGGAGCATGGATGGTAGACAGAGGGAGGGAGAAGGGAAATATCTAGGAGCTACCTTCTCTCTAATAACATTTTAGTAGAAAGAGTAGGTGCCCTCTGAGCCTCTGTGCTCCAGGTGCCATTCTCTCTGCCTCCAGCACTTACTAATGCTGAAGAGTAGCAGTGCTTTCATGCACAGGAATTCCTGGGGGGTGATTTGAAGCCATCCAAACTCTTGAGACAGGTGCCTCATTCGGACACACTGGCTGTACATCCGAGACTTGTGCATGCGGTACCTAGGCAGAAGACAGATGAAGAAAAGTGAGGAGAGGCTTCTAACCAGCGCACAGAAAACATTTCTTGTTCTCCTCCCCAGGCTTGCCAGGCTCTCCAAAAAAGGGGGCTATTTGTCCTACTAGTGCATCAGTGAGAAGGAACAATGCCCCCCCCCACCACAAGCCTCTGATATCCTGATAAGGACTCATCTTCCCTGGCCAGGATATGGTTTAGCAAATGGAACTTCCAGGTCTGCATGCCCTTTCTGTTACCTGAGTCAGGGACAGGAAAGCATAAGCAAATGAACACAAAGGTCTTTCTGACTACAGTGCTAGGATCTCAGCTACAACCAGAGCCAGAATTTGCCTTCCAGGCAGTCAATCTCAGGATTCTTCAGAGAGAGGACCCAGGCAATCTGCTCTTAACATAACAACACCAGGATTTGCAAGTATCCACAGGTGTTTATCTTGTCAACACCCCTGCCTGCCATTTCCCATAATAGAAATTTAATCATTTCTTTACAAACCTCTAGCAGTAGATAAAAATTCCACATTGTCCTTTCAAAATGAGTTCCAGTACTTCTAAATGTGCTAGAGGTATTTTGAAATGTTTAATCTCAATGTTCTCAGTAGAGTGAGAGCCCATCCCCTCATAGACTGTCTGTTCCTTATTGCTGTTTGGGAGTTGTAAACATATGTGAGCTGCTTTCTTATAGTAAGCTGTGAACAGATCATCACATTATCACCTATAAATTATATGGGGAAGTGGCCAAGGCTTAAGACAGCTTCTGGGTGGTGGCAACCTCTCTGGTCCATGACTGGCGATGGCCAGTCTTTAAGAGAAGACACAGTATCTCCCAAATAAAATGCCTTTCAGTTTTCACTAGTTCAGAAATGATGAGACAGAGAGAGAGAGAGAGAGAGAGAGAGAGAGAGAGAGAGAGAGAGAGTTAGAATGGTTAGAAAGGAAGTGAGCCAGGTGTGGTGGCTCAAGCCTTTAATCCCGGCACAGGAGAGGCACAGGCTAGTGGATTTCTGTGAGATCTAGGCCAATATGGTCAAGTCCAGGCCAGCTGGGGCTACAAGGAGTCCCTGTCTCACTACCACCCCCAACCCCCACCAAACAAAACAACAACAAAAACAAAAAAGGGAATTCAACATCAGCTTAATTACCTAAAAGGTGAAGACAAGGACTTCCCGGATGGAGTATAAAGGCCATGTTTTGACATTCTAGTTTCCAAGTCACTAGCCTGCTGCATGGCCTGAACAGGCTGGTCACTGTCTGAGCAGAAGCTCTGCAAACTATTTCATGGCTGCCCAGGAGAAGGAGAGAAGGGGGCAGGAGGCAGAAATTATTTAATCCAGGCTGAAGTCCATCTGGACAGGGGAAGTGTTTAGATGGTAGCACAAGTCAATTGAGCAGAACAGTGCTGCTCTAAGTTCTTTTATCCTAGAGGACAGGTAAGATCTGCTGCCCCTAGAGCCTGACTTTGCTCCTGGCTCCATTGTATTTGTATGTCTCTGTTGATGACAACACTGCAATGTTTGAAATCATGGTCCTGGTATGAAGGATTCCTAGAATATTGCTGCAGGCCCCTGAGACAGTGAAAATAGGGGATAGAAGAGAAGAGGAAGAAACAATGAAAGGAATTTAAAGTGGAGAGAAAAATCAGTGAGAAAGAGTTGGAAGAGAGGTGAAGGAAAGGGAAAGAACTGTAGGAGGGTAAAGAAGAAGGGGCAGGAATGGAACTCAGGACTAGAGCAGAGGCAGGTAGGAATAAAAGAGTGGATGAAAGGGAAAATGAAGAATGGAAAATACTGAGCACAGTGCCTGGAACATGGTAATGCTTAATAAATGATAGGCGAGAAAGGTGCTGTTATATTATTCATCATTCTATGATGAGATAAGTGACTCAGAGAAATGCAGTATATTTCCCATGGTCACATAGCTAGGATTCAAGCTCATTATCTTCAAAACATGAGTTCTCAATAAAAAATGGAGAAAAGAAGAAAACCAGACTCACAATATGGTTTGGGCCTTTTACAGAATAACAGATGTGTTGGTCCTGCTTCTACAATTCCAACTCTTTGGGCCTCAGTCCCTCCATTATTACCTTGATAAGGTTGGCAGCAATTAGTGACTGTCAACTGGAGTATACTGCCTTCTCAGTGGGTATTAAAAATATGGGGTGGGGGGCAGTTTGCTGTTGCAGTGACTGGAATCCTATGTGTTATTTAGTGGGCAGGTGCTAGGGATACCAAACATACTGCATTATGCAGAACTGCAGAATGGCTTTCACAATTAAACAAAATCTTCCCCAAATATCAATAGCATTGTGGCTGAAGAGATGACTCAGCCATCAAGAGCACTGGCTGCTCTTGCAGAGAACCCAGGTTTGGGTCCCAGCACTCACATGGCAGCTAACAATCATCTGTACTACAGTTCCAGGGGATCTGGTGCACTCTTCTGACCTCCCTGGGCATTGCACAACATGGGTGCATTTACATGCAAGCAGGCAATAGACTCGTACACATAAAATTTTTTAAATTAATAGCGTCTATGTTGAGAAACACTGGTCTAGATATTTTTAGGGACTCTGAAAACTGTAATACAACGGGAACCTACAAATTGAAGAGGAGCTTGTTTCAGAATCCTTGGGGCTTGTTAGATCTGTGTCTAATTCCCTCAGGAGCCCTGTAGCATCTTGATGAGAAGAATGGGACCTAGCCAGAAAACCGAGGTGGGGTGCCATAGGAATACTTGGAAACAGAAGGAAATGCAGATTTACAAAGTGACCATTGATCACCTTGTAGAACTCCAAAGGTCTCAGGGTTCTTGGGAATGTAGAGCTGGTTGGTGATCAAGGATTTGATTCAGTAAGGGGTAGCAGAGGCTAGGGGGATGGGCAGTGAACAGTTAGCTGGCTTTACGAGGCCTGCCCCAGAAGATGGCATCATAAGTAAGTCTTGGGAGGTCTGCAAACCACAAGTCAGCTCATGCCAAAATCCCAGCAGCTATTCTTAGCTTCCGACGACCAGGGCTGACTGGGTTTTAGAAGAGAGCAACTGGGGACACTCTCTTTTGCATGGCACTGCTGTAGAGTAAGGAACCACAAGCCCGTAGATTTTATTTTAAGGCTCTTCTGGGTTAAAGGGTTGAAGGAGGGGGGAAGTTTAATTCCTGCCCTGATTGAAAGGATCCTCTGCAGTGAAAGTAGCACACAATTCTTGGGAATATTATTCTGGTCACAGTGCTACCGAGAAATGTCAGACAGCAGATAGAGAAAACACTATCACTAGTAGGAAAAAGGGAAAGGGAGTGCAAAGGGGATCCCTAAGCCTTCTCCTCATTTCCTTTCTCCCTCATCTTCCCTGCCCTTTCTCTTCCAGTGCTTCCTGTTTTCTTTTCCATTTCCCTTTTATTTTCCGTTGCCCTTTCCTTCCTTTTATGAGGGAGCATGTTACTACTATGCAGCTGGTGGCTGGTGTCGATCTTCCTACTTAGGCCAAATGAGTCTTGGACTCCAGATTCTCCTGCCTCAGTCTCTTGAATGCTGAGATTCTTTGCACCATCATTCCTGGTCTAAGAAGTTTCCTTCTTCTTCTTTTTTTTTAAGTCCTGTCTGCCATGGGTCAGGCATATCACATCCATCAGTTCCCATTCAAAAATGGTTTTGCAATGTGAGATTAGGAAACTGAAAGTCAGGGAAGTTATGGTTCTTGACCAAACAACACGATAAAGATAACAGCAGAACAAAGACTTTAGTAGAGTAAGGTTCCAAAATCTGAGCCTGTAGCCAAATTCAGGAAGGAAAATATAGCTGGCAAAAGAACTGATGTGAATTAAATCTGTTTTAGGAAAAGGAAATAACAGGGCCAAGGTCAGTCAATTTTTTTTGATGCAACTGACCTTCCACGTCCGAAAAGACAGGATTATCTATTAAAAGGGAAGGTCAGATTATCATGAAAACTCAGTGATATAGGTTTTTAGGAATTATCTTGCATAGTTCTGGCATGAAAATATTTGTTCAACCAACAGAAGCCCTCGCTGGTAGCAAGGGGCTCAAAGGCTGGCACTATGAACACTTACTCATTGAAAACCAGGTCAGGTGCAAAATAGAGCATTCTGGAATTGACGTTAGTGAAGGACCGCCAGCCCATGGCAAATACCATGAGTCCCATCCAGGAGTACTGAATGACTGCCATCTGGTCATCCACATGCAAGTTGCGGAATCCTGGAGAAGAAGGGGCAAAGGCAATGTCAGATCAGGTGTTAGTGGGTTGCGTTCTGTCTGGGCATCTCCTTTGCTGCAAATTTGGTACTCGGATAGTCATTAAGGAGCTCCAGAGACTATCAATCATGGCTGTTGAGGGAAACAGGTGTGAAGAAGAAACTATATAATGGACACCCATTCTCCTTTACTGAAGTCTTCAAATGAGATCATGATGTAGTTAAAAGGGCACTGATATTTGGAAGACAGTCATAATCTAACAGTATTTATACTGGCTGGACTCTTTTCTAAGGCCTTTACTTATATTATTCATTTAGTCCTCATAAGGAATAAAATAGATACTCTTATCCTCATTTTGTGCTTCAGTAAAAGTGAATTACAGAGAAGCCAGGAAATACGTCAAAGATCATATGGCTGTTAAAAGGCAGACCAAGTTCCCAAGCCCATGTTCTTGCCCGTTATACCTTTAGGAAGATTCAGTTTAATTTCCAGTTCTCCCACATCCCTTCTCACTTTACAAAACTGTATTCTAGTTGTACTTTGATGCCCCACATGCAACAACCCTGGGAAAGAGATACTATTATATTGAATTGTTTTCTGTGATGCTCTTTCAGCCCCATACCTCTCCATTCTTTTCTACTTAACAGTCATGCTAGTTCAGCTAGCTTTCTACCCTTAGCCTTGCCTACCCTACTACTCTTAGACATAAACAGACTCTGTATGACCTCCCTGCTAGACTAATTTCTTGTCACTTGCCTTCTGATAATTTAGGTTCTAACACTTCTGTAAATTTTTTTTGTCTTTTTGAGACAGAGTCCCCCTGTAGCCACAGCTGGCCTGGAACTCACAGAGATCCACCTGCCTCTGCCTTCCGAGTGCTGGGATTAAAGGTGTGTGGTACCATGCCCTGCCTTCACTTCATGCTTTTCCAGGCCCTCTGCCTAGGCAGACACTTTTGCTTAGGATGTAACACCCACACAACTTTCAAGTCTTTGTTCAAAGTACCTCCTCTGTGAAGCCTTTTCCAACTCATCCAAGCATATGGCTTAATGATTCTTCCTTTACCTTCTCAAGGAGCCTGGAGTAGCTTTAGCTAACTAAAGAGCTCAGTTCACAACACTGAGATTTATGAAGACATTTGTCTCCTCTACAAGACTTGATGCTTCCTGAAGATGAGGACCATATATTGCTGCTCATCTTGGTCTCCCTAATACATAGCATGGTCCACATGTTTGACTGGGCACTTGTAAAACAACAATCAAATACATGAACTAATGATCCTTAATATTTTTCCCATTTTTGTAGAATGGAGATTTGATTACCTCCAAATGGCCTTCTTTAAGTACAGGAACCAGCCATCCAAATGCTACATCTGTAATAATATTTTGCTGCATCATATATGGCCAAGTTTTTGTGGAAGTTTCCAATTCTTCAAATCATTTAAGTGAGAAAGGTGTTACCTCACTATCATTGCTACCAGTAACTCCTTTATTTTTCCCCAACAAACTCATAATTATCTGAAATTATATATTATCTTACTTCATTAAGAATGTTTCTTTGAATTTAGATAAAAATTTTTACTTTCTTGTGAATCGATCTCATTTAATCCTCTTAATGACTCCTGATGATAGGTAATGGGGCACTTATTTTACCAATATGGAACCTGAGGATTAGAGCAGGTAGGTGACTTGCACAAGATCCTATAGTCAATATGGCTGCACTGGAACTGGAAGCCAGACACTTTGATTCTCTGCTCCAGTGCTTTTTCTACTCCGCCACTGAAAGTCATAGCTCAGGGTTCTGAGGGCCATTAATGTTCTTTTAGACAAGGGCTCAGCTGTGAGTTTTTTACAAGTCAGACAGTATTGTTCTTGGTTGGTCTCTACCCTCTCATCCATGCCTACTCACCTACCCACTTCAGTTTTCCCTGTCTTTTAGGTCTTAGGTCTGCTAGTCACAGCTGTTTTATAGTTCCTCATAGCACAGTCCCTGGCTATAATTTTAGATCTCAGGCCTATGCCTCACCTTCACTGTGTTGACATACTATGCTATCAGCTCGGCTGGAGCCCCTACCAAAGTGTATTTCTTTCCTGGTGCCCTTCTATAGTATAAAATGTCTGTGTCTGATCGTTTCCTATAGAAGACAAGATGCCAAGTTCAATAGAGACAATATCTAAGGATCATCTGGGAGAAGAGACCTAGGAGTTTAACCCCTGAGCATCTGTCGTGGAATGCAGTGGGCAACATAAAAGCTGCTGAAGGGTAAGCTTTAACCTCCTAGTGGAATGTGTGAATACGAAGGTACATGGAGGGAAAAGTATTAAATTGTACAGATATTAAAGAAACTGTCTACTCAGATGCTTTGCCCCACCCCCAAACACCAGAGAACTAACAAAAATGTGAAAGGGGGGTCATTTCAGTTAGACTTCAATACTGATTTGCAACACTTAGAGCTGCTTATCACACAGATCCAATAAGTGTACACACATGACCAATGTAAAATACCATTTTTCTTGTAGAGCTAATCTGATTATGATATCTAATTATTCTTTAATGCACAGCTTTTGAGGTAGCCTGTTCAAACTGCATGGCTAATCAGGGATGACTGGGAAAAACAGTAGCCTCAGTGGTACAAACCTTCTTAGGCACACAGTGTTAGGCTGTTCTGCTGAAGTACAGAGGCATCATGCTCGGGTTTTGAAACACAGCAAACATGGAGCAGAGGCAGTTTTTGTTTTCTCATTAGACTCCAACCATCATCATTGTTAGGTATATACACTGGAAATGTGTAGCCTCATGAGTCTGGGACAACAGGTGCAAAACAAGGTCTAGAAATTTGTGTTGTTCTAGGTCAATGGCTAACCAAGGTCTTCAAAGAAGACAGTTCAAACTTGGGTTCCATGTATGAGCTCTAAGCAAGGTTGGTGGGACCTTTGAGCTTAATGCAAATTATAGGTTTAGTACTTAATGACTATAGTGATAAGTCACCATTAGAAGAAACACATCAACTGTTGCAACTACTGTATTAGGTATTCTTTATATGATTTTTGTACTGATGAAAGTTTTCAAGGTGTTCCACCATTTCTACAAATGAAGACAGAGCAATATAAAGAAGATCTAGGTTTCCGATTCAGGCCCATCTGATTCTGAATATTCTGTGTATTTACAGTCATGTCAACTGTCCCCAATTTGTAGCTGCAATTGTTAATGCATGAGCTACATTATGAGGAAATTTCCAGATATCATCATCAGATCATCACACAAAATTCCCCAAAAAAATTCATCTGACCAGCTTCTTGTATAGGACAGAAACTCAAAACTGTTGAATGAGCAAATTATTTAGACTAGTAGGTAATTATAGGAAATATGAATAGCCATTCTTGTGAATGCAGTAATCAGTTTCCTTTTAAACCTATTCTTCTAAATGATTCAGCATCAGAAATCATTTATTCTGGAAAGGTAGAGCCTAAACTAATTTTGGTTTGCAGATTTGTTAATACAGAGACGAGACTTCCCATACTGAAGGTTGGGCCATGGACAGCCGGTGTTCCCAAATGCTATCAATTCTGCCATGGTCATTTGCGCTAGGTTATTTCCAAGCCTACCAATTTAGAAATCAAAGAGTCTGAGCGCAAGCTCTGGTTCCATTGTTAAGTAACTAATGGAACAAGTTAGTTAACTTCCTTGAGCTGTGGTGTGTGAAATGGAAATAGCAGTTCCTGTGATTCATAGGATAGTTTTTACGGGTCATCTATATGAAAAGGCTTTGAATCCTATAAAAAGAGACATTAAACATTTGGAAACTTTGAATTTCCACTAAAAATGGCATTAAGGTGTCTAGCTGAATCAATGACAATAATGAAAACAACCTTTTCTTTTTTCTTCTTTGTATTTTTCCTTCCTGTGTGAACTCTCAGTTTTGGCATAATGCATATTCAGTCCTAGTCCTTGGGCCTCCTTCCCAGCAATCTTATTGGCTAGTCAAATTGAGATTTCCAAGATTAAAAAATATTAGGGAGGTTCTAGGGGCTATGACCGGGCCTTGTGATTTAGAAGTACAAAACAGGGCCTTGATAATCAAAATGTAAAATTTTCAAAAGTAGATAGTCCAGTACATGACCCAAGTTGTTTTCTAGGAGGCTTTGGCCTCTCACTGTGAAGCCAGAATGACAAAAATGTAGGGGCATTCCAGACACTAGCTACAGTTCAAGGGGATGGCTCAGAATTAGGAAGACCTGGACTCAAAATCTGGCCCAGCGAATAACACTTCTTCCCAGAACTTCATTGTATGCAAAAGGGAGGAATGAGCACCTATTTGTAGGAGATTCGTATGATAAATCAATTCAGTAATACATAGGAAACCACCTTTTTCACTATGAATTTCCATCTGCACAGTAATTATCATTAAAAGGCAGGTTAATCTTTGACTTCACAAGAGGAGACTTGGTTTTTGATATTTCAAAAGAATCTTTGAATCATATAATCTTGGGATTAGGAGAAACTTTAAAGGGAATATGCTTCACTGCTTTCCAAACTCTGTTGCCTATAGCCACCTAATTGTGTGAGGCTGATCAGTGGCTTATGGTTGACTTGGAATAGTATTGAGGGAGAGGAGACGATGAGGTCAGGCAAAGATTCTGACTTTAAATAAATGCGGTCACAGCTTTTAAGAAATAAAGCACTTGGTTGCTAAAGGAAAGTTTGTGAATCCATGGACAGAAGATCTCTACATCTTTCTCAAGCTATTATATTTTAATAATGAGACTTGTTTAAATAACAGGTGGCCCAGTAAGGAAGTGACTTCCTCATTATTGAAGGTATCCAAACAGAAGTAAAACAATCACTCGGTAATTTTTTCACTATGACCGAGACTTTTCTCCCACTAAGATTTCAAAAGTAGTTTAAAGAACACTTAGGGTACTTTGAATTAAAATTTTAAGGTTACTAGCTTAGCCCAAACCGCTCTTTATAGATACACATGGAGAAACTGAGACTCAGAAGGGGAAAAGATCAAATAACAGGCTATCAGCGAAGCTAAGACTAGAACTCAAGTCTTCTGACTTCCAGTGGCCCACAGGATCATTCAGTAAATATGATTTCCCTTAACCCAGTAACCTCATTTTACTTTTCCTTACCAGGTAAGGCCTTGGCCCACTTAACCACATGTACAAGTTGTCTTTCTCCCAGTTCATTGAGGCTAGACAACAAAGCTGCAAAAGAGTCAGGCTGGTTGTTGTCATGTCCAGCACACACCACTCCTGGTTCAATGGCTTCTAGGACATTAAGAAAGATAGGTTGACACTCATAGCCTTCAAAGTGTGATACAGTCATCTTCTGAGATGGGTCTTCAGTGGGACTGCTAGCACTGGAATTTTCTCCTTCCTCCTGTAGTTTTAGATTGCCAAGTTTCTTCAGTTTACGAGCTATTGGGATGGAAGAGAAAGGTGAATTTATTATCAGTGACCAAAATCACACACCAGAATTACCCTGTTAGGAAAAGTGTCAGAGCTAAGAAAACAAAGATGCTCTTTGTCTCTGGTTATAGATTCTAACCTTCTTAAGGACAAGTGTTTATTCAACAATGGCTGAATGATTTATCATCTCAAATCTATGCTAAGCCCAAAATTTCATACCTTGCTTTCTCCCCTGATCCTTGGGGCAGAACAGTCTAGTATATCCTTGGATAGGCTCTGTTTGAGTGCAGACTTCACAGTTTACACCTTGGACATTTAATTGATTTATTTACAAATACATCTATGACTAATTATTTTATTCATCCATTCAACATATGTTCATTGACAGATATTTGGTATAAAGAACATGGGCTGTGCTCCAATATGGTAGGGGGGAAATGAATAACTACAAACATAACTATAAAATGTCAGAATAGTAAATGGTATAACAGAGGCATCAAAAAAGAGGAAAACAACAAACTTTCCATATGGTGAGGTTAGGAAATGCTTTACCACAAAGGTGGCATTTGACTTAGAGTTTAAATACTAATAAGAATTTCTACAGGTAGAAATAGGCTAAAAAGCATAAACAAAAGGAAACAGCTAAAAATCAGAGTGTTTGGAGTATGAAACATATGTGGTAAGATTGGCTACTTATGATATTAAAAACAAAGATGGGGTCTAATTTTAGAGGACTGTGTGTATTGTATTAATAACAAGGCTAATTAGCTTATTGATGATAAGCAAATAATGAGCATTATAAGCAGGACAACAATGTAAATGTGTCTATATCTGGCATTAAGTAGATCAGACTTACAGGCTACAGAAGAATGTTGATCTAGACTTATCCTATTTTGGTCAAGAGGTTCCAAAAAGTGCCAGCTTGGACCTTAGTTTCTTTCCCTCTAAACACTTTTTTTTTTAAAAATCTCAGTACTGAGAGTTGAACATAAGACTTTCTGTATGTTAGATAAGTACTCTACCACTGAGTCAATGTCTTAATATCTCCATTTTTCTTTTAATTTTGAGACCATGATATCACAAATTTGATCATGCTCAACTTGAAGTCATTGTGTGTCTTAGGCAGGCTTTGAACTTGTGATTCTCCTGTCTCGGCTAAGCCTCTCATGCACATAATGTTCATACTTAAATCTCTCTGAAGATGGAAAGGTTGCTACATACTTATGTCACTGTTGAAGTTCAGAGACCAGATGTTCAGGAATTGAGAATTTAAGCATCAGATGGGAATAAGTTTTAAAAATGGCCTTGAAGATCTTTTATATCTTCAGACTACCAAACCGTTTCACTTTGGATAGGAATTTTCTGATGTTCTATTTCCCAATGAACGTTATAAGGAACATCAGATGTTGTCAGAATAATACTCATAGATAAACATTCTTCTTTAACAAAGGGGAAAGGAGGAAGGTAAAGGGTTGGAAACTGCAATAGTATTAAAGAAATGACAGAATGTTTCTGCCTCTATCATTTGTCTATGAAATAGAAATCATACTAGAAGGTAGTCATTGGGATAGTAGAGATAACATTATTTAAAATAATCACAATAACCTATAACTCAGTCATTAAGAACCATGTTCCTGACATACCCACACACATACAAATACACACACACACACACACACACACACACACACACAATTTAAAGATCCTTAGGCATCCAAATGGTTACTTTGTTCTATTTTCCTTCACAGTTATATTAACAAGTATAAATAATTAAAAAGGTCATAGCTCAGAGATCTGGCATAAGCAGATGTACTAGGAGTAGACCATAAATTGTTTTTCCCTAATCCTTTTTAAAATAATAAATAAATAAAGGCATAAGACAAACAGAATTTGATTCTCATTCAAGTTGATAAAAGCAGCAAAACCTACCCTATATGTGTTTCTGACTTCGTAGAATAAGACACATATCTGGAACTGACTTTAAGCTCTAATTCGAAAAAGAATTCTTTCATTGAGAACTCTAATCATATTGTCATGCAGTAAATCAGTGTCAGAACAGATCACAGGTTTGTATCAACTATTACAGTAGAGAGGAGGAAACAGTGAATATAAGAGGACCATTGAGAAGAAAAAGGGAAAAATGACAAGGCAGCCTGGGAACCCAGCCCTAAGTGCAAGATGACCTTGTCTAACAATCATTTCTACAGGGCACATGCACAGTCAGTAATAAGGAGGTATGCACATGCACTGCCACTTCCCACCTTCTACTGAGGATATAGGCTGAGGGGGTGGTGTGAACCTAGTCTATCTCTCCTTTCGGAGCTAGATGACTGACCCCCACAACGTTTTGTCATATGATGAATTCACTGATAACATAGGCCCTTGTACACAGCTCCACAGTCTGACGATGCCTACAAGATCTGTTCCCCTGGTGCAGTTCCCATAGACAGACCTCACCTTCCTCATCACTGATATTTGCTGGTCTCGAGCTTAGGCAAAAGAACCAAGTAATCTGAACCTGCTATGCTATGCATGAAGCCTACACTCTCTGTACTTTTATTATGTGGCTCCCTCATGGTGTCTGAACCCTTGAAGTTTAATTTTCCCTGCTTGCAATTTTTACCCTCCATGATAAACTTCTGGAGCTACCATCACATCTAGAATAGAAGAGACAGAAATTTGTAAGAACACAGTCAGTTCCCTGACTACACGGAAGCATATTGGGGGCACTGTAGTGGCAGGAAGATTCACAGCATAAAAAACAGGAAGGGTCCTTAGAAATCATCTTATTTAGAGGTCACAGATTCAAGTATCTTCAGTATCTACTCAGGTAACACAGCATGTAGGTATGTGTGTTAATGTGTATGTAGGAGAATGCTTGGCACTCTGCCTGGCAAACCGGAATAAATGTCTTATCTCCTTCCTTACCCTAGAAGACATTTATGTAGTACATAAAATCTTCATGAAACTCATGTATTCTCACACTGAATTCAACCCTTAGCCATCATTTTGAGTCTTCTGGTGTTACTCCAAATCTCAAGTCAAAGATGGGAAGACTGAAACCATAGAATGAGGCAGCATAGAGGCAGACCTGGGATTGGATCCAGGGCTCTTATTGCTAATGTAAAATTCCTTATTCCCAGAGTACCTCCCTTTTAGTAACCTATTCCCGCTTCATCTCAGTATGTGCCTCTCTGAGCTTTTTTCTAGATTTACACTGTCCAATATAGTAGCCACTAGTCCTGTGTGGTTATTTAAAATACTTGAAGGAAACAAAAATATAACCCTTGTGGCTGGGGAGATGGCTCCATAGTTAAGAACACTGGCTGTTGCAGAAGACCTGGGTTTGAATCACAGTACCCACATGATGGCTAACAACCATCCATAACTCCAATTCCAGGGGATTCACTGCTCTCTTCTGCTCTCTGCAGGCACTGCACGACATGGGAGCACTGCACTTACACATGCAGGTATAACACTGATAGTCATAAAATAAAAATAAGTTTACATATATATATATATATATATCCCTTGAGTCTCACTGGATATATTGCCAGTGTTCAAAAGCTACATGTAGCTGGTGACTGCTATACTGGACAACACACATATAGAACATTTCTATTATCTCAGGAAGTTCTGTTGAATAATGCTGTGAATGTAGTGCTCTCTGGTACAGCTATGCTACTTGCCATATGGTACTAAAGCTATTGATAAAGAAGGAAAGAATCCAAATTAATTATACACAGATGAATCCATTGTCTTTAATTCAGAAGGTAGAGGGACAAAGAGCGTAGCTGGCATTGGTGCAATTGGTGCGATATAATCTATCACCCCTACTCTCCCAATTACGACTCAAATCTCAGTAAGATGATGACTTGTGGGCCTAAACAGACTCATTACAAGCAAGATCAATATGTAGAGACTGTGGGGAAAATCCATCAGGACAAAATTATTACCCTTTCTTTACATTGTGCCAATCAGAACTTGGCTGGCCTTTTTACACCCTTCTCTTCTAAAGCTATAAGGCATCTGCTTGAAGAAGAGAGATTGCATTCCCATTTGCCTCCAGGGCCTGGGTAATGTGCTGTCTCTGTGACCATACTGACTCAAGCTGCACCAGGTGTTCTCGGATATCTGCCTGAAGAGGGTGACTGTACTGGACATAATTGAAATCGGATTCCATTCATTCTGCAGGGGATCCTCTGTTCTCTCTCTGCAGCAGAGACCAGCATGTTGCTAGACGACTTGGAATCCTAGACAATGAAGCTTACTAGTCTCAGCTGTTACTCAGTGCCCAAGGCCTTATTTTCTTCCATGAAGGCCGTCCACATGCTCCTCCCTTCCCCTGCACCTGAGCCCCAGAGTCAAATCTAACTCTTCCTTGGGAGATACACCAACTAACTACTATGTCAAAGCAGAGACTGACTTAAACTCAGTGGTGAAACACAGACAAATGGGGAATTGAAAGTAGGTAGTTCTGATGATATGTGAGCTGCCCTGTATCTTGTCCCTGTCTTTTAGTCTTAGGTCAGAACAAGAAAATATCTCCCTAACGTGTGACTTTGCTGTTTAGGGGCCTTTCATGCCTGGGACCTGGTATATCAGCCCTGGCACACTGTACTTCTGTGGGGGCTACCTCTAAAACACCAGAAAAATATTTTTCAAATCGGATTCCATGGTGCAGGGTTTTTTTTTTTTTTCTATTTTGTTATTTTTATTTTATGTGTATGTGTGTATTGCCTGCATGTAGGTAAGTGCACCCGTGTTGTGCAATGCCTGCGGAGGTCAGAAGAGGCTGTCGGATCTCCTGGAACTGGAGTTACGAACAGTTGTTAAGGGCCATGTGGGTGCTGGGATTCGAACCCAGGTCTTCTGCAAGAACACCCAGTGTTCTTAACCGCTGAGCCATCTCTCCAGCCCCATGGTGCATTCTTAAAGATGACTAGATATCATTAATCTGTAACTTCTCTAAATTCAGCAACCTTCAGGCCGGTTCCAGCCACATTCCT